AGAGGCAGCTGATCGATGACTCTCTCATCGATGTTTCTAACTCTCTATCTCTCTCCCTTCCTCTCTGTACAAAATCAATAAAATATATAAAAAATAAAAAATAAAAAAAAAGGGAACAAATTGGTCTCAAGGTCATGAAGCTGTTTACCTGCAGTGCCAGGACTAGAACCTAGAATTTCCCTTCTCTTTTTCTTCCTTTCTTTCTTCCATATCTAAGTCCTTGTACACATTTTCACCACTTGTGTGGCTAACCAGCAGTGTAAAAGCCCATAAATATTACCTTCATTAAAAAAGTTAGGTATTTTCCCCTCAAAATATGTATTTTGTCACCAGCATCATGGATTCTCTGTGACATAGACTGGTTGGCTTTTTACAATAATAATTTTAAAGAGCCTATGATTTTATGATTTACTCATATCATGATACATATATATTTGGTTTTTGTTCCCATTTCTGTCACAGCTCTCCTAAGACCCTTGATATTTCCTAAGTGTTGGGAGCAATAAAGATGCCTTTTGCTATGTTAATGAGGTGACTTTTGGAACACACTAAGGAAGGCAGCTGGTTGTCAACCATATGATTAGGACTGAAGGCTGGAACTGTCAGTCCTACTTCTCCCCACCACCTCCAGGGGGAAGAGGGGCTGGAGACTGAGCCAGTTGCCAAATGCCCAGTGATTTATTCAATCATGCCTGTGTGATAAAGCTTCCATACAGAGCCAAAGGAGGCGGTTCAGAGGGCTTCCAGGTTGGTGGACACCTGGGAAGAGCATGCAAGTGCTGAGCCTTTTCCCCATGCGTTGCCCTACAGAACGCTTTCATCTGAATATTTATCTGTTTTTTTTTATTTTTATTATGCTTTTAAAAAATGAACTGGTTAATCCAGTAAGTAAAATGTTTCTCGGAGTTCTGTGAGCTACTCTAGCAAATGAAGCAAACTCAGAAAGGGATTGTGGGAACCTCCACTTAGAGCCAGTCTGCCAAGTTCAGAAATGCAGGCAATAGCCTGGGTTGGGAGTGGATGAACAGTGATGTAGGACTGTTAACCTGTGGGATCTGGTGCTATTGCTGGATAGGTTGTGTCTGAAATGAGTTAATCCTTCCACACCCTGCTGCTGTCTATGAATTGCTTGTTGGTGGTGTGGGATCCCTTCCCTCCATCCACAATGGAAATTAACTCTCAGAACACCCATTTAAAATCATTTTAGACTTCTACATAAAAATGAAAACTGATTTCCAAAGCTATAAATCTTTGACTGCATCACTAAAAAAAAGAAAAGAACCTAAAGTGCTCTAAAAAATAGAGAGAGAGAGGAACAGGAGATTGTCAATGTGATTTTACAGTTGGTATTCTTCGCAGGGAGCCAGAGAAGAGTAGAAAAGCATCTGTCATAAAATGTTGCAAAGGCCACTGCCCTACTTAAACTGTTGTGAACTGGGGCACTTGAGTCTGAGTAATTCAGGACTTTTATTTTCAGCACATGTCCCCAATCATTCCTGTAGAAATGAAGGCCACCTCTTGACTCCAAATATGCCATTTACCCTTAGCTCACAATCTGTAACTTTCATCCAACCGGTAAAGACAGAAAACTAGAAAAATGTTACATTCTCAGATAATAGAAGTAGAAAGCATTTGAGCAAAAAGGAAAGTGAAAAAAGTTTTCTAGGGTCTACAAAACCAAAAAGATATACTTCTAGTTGTATGGCCTAAATGTGCTTCCTTTCACTTTATCATTTGCTCTGTAACATACCCTCCTGACAATAAATAAATGTTATCATTTATTCAAAAAGAAAAATACTTCTATTCCGTAAAACCCGAATAATGCATACACACTGGCAATGGGGGAAGATGGCCTGTATCTGGGGAGATTTTTCTATCCAAATTCTTACTAGATCTGAATATGCATAGCTTATTTCAACAAGAGTTCAGAAAAATAATCAAGAGTGATACAAGTATCACTTTAGGCCCCTCAGTAATTCTAGATTTTTCTATGGTTTTCTTATTGTATTATTTTTCCCTGACAGGTAACACTCTTTGGCTTTGTCTAGTATTGGCCAAGGTCAAGGGGAAAGAGTAGAATAAATAGTATAGACATATTGACATATTGACAGCCATGAAGATGTAATGGGATTTTTTTGTTCAGTAACAGTCAGTGTTATGCTGTGGTTATGGATTCAGAAATCAAGCTTCTTGGATTCAAATCCTGGTTATTGGCTGAATAATGCTGGGTCTCATCTACAAAACGAAGGTGCAGATAAGAGCACTTCAAAGAGTTCTTGTGAGGTTTAAGTGAATTGATAATATAAAGTACCTGGAACAATGCATAGTGAGTCCTCAGTAAATATCAAAATTAGGACAATACATGAAATTTCTCGTTATGTCTTCCAAAATATTTTCATATTGTTACCTAGTATTAAGCCATAGATGAACAATAATTGATCGAAACTCACTGCCTATTATAGTTTTAGATTGTTTCCAATTTTTCAGTTCATATTGTTTTATTTTTTTTCCTTCAGAATAACCTTATTACTTTTCCAGTGTCTGAGAAAAATACTCCTAGATTTTTAATTGGAATGATATTAAACCTATACATTTATTTAGAGGGATATTCTTTTACAAAGTCTATTTTACCATCCTGGCATATAATATAGCTATCTACATATTGTAGTATTACAAAGTGACCTAATATTTTATATTTCTTATTATAGAGATCATTTATATTTATTTTTATATTAATTCTTAGATAATTCATAGTTCTGCGATTAGTAGCTTTTAAATAAAATTTATTCTTATTACTCTTAGGAAATATTTGGTATTTTGTTTCATGGGTTTTTATACAGATACTATAATTTTTAAAGTAAAAAACATCAAACCTTTTTTGCATAGAACGTCTCAATTTACATCCTGAATTTAGAGCTAATTTTACCTATAACTTTTATTTAATAAAACCACTTTCTAAAAGGTAAAAGTTTTAAATTCATAATATAAATATATCTCTAAGAAATATGGTGATATTATAGAGAATCACTACAATAAACAAAATTCTTGCTTCATCTTCCGTAAACAATGAGTCAGTAAGACCATCTCAATTAGAAAGCAAGAACTTAAAACAAACCTCATTATTTCATTAACAGACCCATTGACGGATTATAAACTACTAAGTCTAACATTTACTACTGTTTTGCCTTCTTTTCTACTCATTCCTACCTTAAGATTCTTCTCATAGTTCTGTAATTGCCTTAATTATTATTTTGTTTACTATTTCCCCACCACCAATTTACATCTACCCCCTTACTGGTTTCAGATATGCTATGTGTGAGAATATTATATATATGTTAAGTGCTCAGGAGAGAGTGTTAGATGGGAGATAGGAATTTGGGAGCCATAGATTTTAAAGCTGAGCAATGAAATGAGTCTATCAGGCAAGTGACTATTGATCAAGAAGAGATTTGATGTTGAGAAAAAGAAAGGCCAGCTAAAGAGACTGAGAAGCCACCAGTGAGGCAGAGAAAAAACAAAAAATAAAACAAGAATGTGTGATGCTCCAGAAGTCTATGGAGAAGTACAGCATAGGGCTGAAGGAAATTAGTGGTAATCATTTTATTTGACAGTTCAAATAAAATGACTAAGAATTGACTATTGGGTTTAGACCATTGTGGAGGTTGTTGCCAGTTTGACAAAGGTGGTCTTCGTGAATAGTGATGAAATCTAGACTGGAATGGAAGAAAAGGAATGGATAGTAATAAAGTGAAGGTCGAGATAAAAGACAACTCTCAATAATTTCTGTAACAGAGAAGTGCGCTATAAAAGGAGAATGATGTTGAGTCAAAGGATTTTTTTTTAAGATAGGAGATATTGAAACATGTTTATATGCTGATATGAGTTTTGATAGGTCAAAAGGAAAGTGAAGGCCATGCAAGTCGAAGGGCTAGCTATGGAGAGAAGAGATGGACAAGAAGGAATGCAAAGTGTGTGTGTGTGTGTGTGTGTGTGTATGTGTGTGTGTGATAAAGATGCATGCAGATTGGTAGATCTGGTGATGGAACTATTAAGTTTTGCTTTTTTTTTCCTGGATGTTTCCAGGTTTCAATGAAATAAAAAGAATTTCCATAAACCAACAGTGAGAAATGAGAAACATTAGAGATTCGAGGAGTGAAGAAATTGTGTAACAATAATCTCAGGAAGTGTTAAAGCAAATTTAGTAGGGTAATGCAGTATGAGTCAAAAGGTAGCACCAAAGCCCTGGCTGGGTAGCTCAGTTGGCTAGAGTATCATCCCAATATGCCGAGGTTGTGGGTTCAATCCCCAGCCAGGATATATACAAGCAGCAACCAATAAATACATAAATAAGTGAAACAAATAGATCTTTCTCTCTCTCTTTGTTCCTTGTCCCCTCCCTTTCTAAAATCAGTTAATAAAAAAATTTAAAAATAACAAAAGAACATATTTGAGATACAGTGATATAATTAAAGTGAAACAAGTGGGATTTCCTCTAGGGAGCAAATGGCAAGGTTACTGAGGATATTATATATGCAGCAAGGAAATGATATAATGAGCCATAGCATCTAAACCACATGTGTCAAACACAAGGCCCGCGGGCCAAATCCGTCCCGCCAGGCCTTGCAATGTGGCCCGCACCGCGCTGTCATCACTGCACTCTGCTGCGTTTCCATCACAATGACAGTTTATGACTGTTCAGTAAACCATTCGGCCCGCGATTTAGGCTGGATTTTAGATTTTGGCCCCTTCTCTGATTGAGTTCGACACCCCTAATCTAAACCATGGCTAAGTAAGAAGGAAGTGAGGATTTGAAAATATGGTGAGTTAATGCATTGTCCAGATGAGACCAAAGGAAAGTTACTGAAGTAACTGAATTGAATGATAGGAGTTATTTGAATCTCAGGTAAATGAAACCCTACATAACTCACCCTTACAATTCTCCAAAGGGGTGGACAATATTACTCTAACCATATGCACACAACTTGAGCCCTGATGAAGTAATCTCAGAAGGCTAACTATCCACTCAGCCTGTGATTTTATTTATTTACAGTTTCTCAGAAATGCATTCATCAAGAAAAACAAGATCCATCAGTAAAACAATTTTATTCCCTTTATTTTATTTTAAAGCATGTTTAAATGTTTTAATGCATCAAACTGAGACGCAGAACATCATTCAAACCAAACATGCTATTAGAGCATCATCTGTAAATGACTTGTTTTTCTGCTTATTAATCTCTTAATAGCAATAAAGCATATTACTAAATTTGAAAGCTAATACATTTCCAGAATAATCTGAACAGCAAATAAACAGAATACTGTAATGCCACCTCAAATAATCTTCAGAAAACTGTTAAGAGGGCAAAAAGTCCATAAAGTAAGGCACACGGGTAGGCAACGAGAAGCTGCTGTCCTTCCATGTCCAAGGCGGAAATAAAGATCTTGGAAGCTGAGAGACTGCACCAGAGAATGATGACCAGTGCCAGCACAGTACCGATGGTGCCCCTGCAGCAAAGACAAAAGAGATGGTTGCCTTACGTCAGGAGAAAGCGGTTACTGAATCAGAGCTGCCTCTGAAATGTCTCTCATACAATATTTATAACTACTTTCTCATTTGTAAAATGGGGGTGAGGAACCATATGAACTTAAAAGGCTTGGCCAGTTAGAAAATATTTGAGTCAATTCACCATCAGAAGCTAAATATTTCATACTTTAGTAAAACTGGAATTAATAGCAACAGAAGAATTCACTTGTAATTACTCCCATATGTCAACATTCATATTACAACTCCTGACATTCTTTTATATAAACTATGTTTAGAAACTTCTTTTACAGCTGCAGAGTTCCTTCCCTGCCACTTTCTTCCTAAATGTACCTACAGAATGAGCAGAAGATTACTGGACTGCATTCCAGTAGGGTGCCCAGCACCCACTGCTCCCAAGTCCACTTTCCAGGACTTTGTCTGAGTAGCAAAGCCTGACACAACTCAAGTAGGAACACGTGAAACAGGAAGGCACATTAAGCATTGCTTCCCACTTCATTGCTAAGGATCGCTTTGTATGTGCATGTGTGGACTTTTTAGAATGCTAAAATATATTTGTTTAAATTGGTATCTTCAAGCCTTAGCTGGTTTGGTTAGTGGATGGAGTGCTGGCCTGCAGACTGAAGGGTCCCAGGTTTGATTCCAGTCAAGGGCCCATGCCTGAGTTGCGAGCTCAATCCCTAGCAGGAAGCAGTCAATCAATGATTCTCTCTCATCATTGATGTTTCTATATCTCTCTCTTCTTCTCCTGCCTCTCTGAAATTAATAAAAAATATAGTTACGTATAAATAAGTAAGCGAATAAATAAATATCTTTAAGAAGTAACTGTGGAGGCAACTGGTTCTTTAAGAGGAAATGGACAAGTAAGGTAATTAAGTCTAACCATTTTAGGAATAAAATCAAAAAGTGTGGGTGATAAAGAGTGAATTTCTTTTCTTCTGTGCAAAACAGAATGTATTATTTAGAAAAACAAGACATAAGACCTAGGAGAGATCTCAGATCTATCTAGTTTCCAGCTTTAAAACAATGAAGTGACTTATAAAAATTGCACAGTAAAATGGGCATTAGGTCAAAATCTCCCAACTAGCCTGGCACACTGTTCTTTTCACCATCAAACTACACTTCCTCAGTTAATCCTGGTTGAATCTGAAGTTGGTAACGATGTTTGTTATTTGTGACAATGACAGGAAAACCTAATTTAATAATTGAATCAAAGCAAAACAAGTGGAAAATTATACAATATAACATAAATAAAAAATATTTAAAAACCATTCTAATAAGTATTATATTCATTGGTTTAATTAGAAATAATTTCTAGAGTGATTTAATTTACCGTTTTTTTTATGAACAAGAATGTAAAATTATACATGATTTATTTAAATGATATAGTAATAAGCTTGAAAGGGCAATTTTAATATAGTGGTCTTAGGAGCCAAATATAACTTAAAGGATTTCTAAATCATTTGTCATAATTTCAGAATGAAAATCTAATTAATGAGAAGAGGTCCATACTTGTGATGATTCCAAAAATCTTAGAGTTTTAGTTTTTATTTTCTTCCCCTAATAATCTGGATTCATTTATAATGCCCTAAAATCTCAACTTTGCTGAAATAATGTTTAAAAATTAGAATTTTTAAATGATAAATCATTATAGTATTCCTTGACAAAAGTATTTGATAAAAAATAGAAACTGAAGAATTGCACTGTGTATTAACTTGTCAGATGTTTGTACTATAATAAACAACATAGTAAGTGGAACAGCTTGTTTGCTAAAGAACTTGACAATCAAAAACTGAAATTTTTCCATGGATAAGGCTCAATAAATATACCTACAACTCACATTGTATTTATACATTGAAAGTATCCATTCTCTGTTGTATTCCTTTTTTTATTTAATGTTGAGGAGTACTTATTGATTAAATAAGAGTGTGCTCTAAGTTATTCTCAAGAATGTTACTACTTCCCTAACTGGTTTGGCTCAGTGGCTAGAGTGTGGGACTGTGGACTGAAGAGACTCAAGTTCAATTCCAGTCAAGTGCACATGCCTGGGTTGTGGGCTCAAGTACTAGTGTGGGACATGCAGTAGGCAGCCAATCAATGATTCTCTCTCATCATTGATGTTTCTATCTCTCCCTCTCCCTTCCTCTCTGAAATCAATAAAAATTAAAATTAAAAAACATCTAGTATTTAATAAAAAATAAAAAAGAATCTCTATCTATAAAAGCCTAAGTGACCAAATGACCAAACGATCAGTCGACTGGTAGCTATGACACGTATTGACCACCAGGGGGCAGACATTCAATGCAAGATCTTTCCCCTTGTGGTCAGTAGACTCCCATGGCAGGAGTTCAGCTGACTGATGGGCGCAAGACTCCAGAGTCACGGCTGGCAGTGCAGCTGTAGTGGCATAAGCCTCTCCTGCCTCTGCAGTAGCACTACCAAGTGGGAGCAGCCTGGCGCCCTGCCCTAGCTTGGGCTCCTCCACAGCCATCTGTTGCTTCACACACTACTACATCCCTCGGGGGATGTCAGACTGCCGGTTTGGCCTCATTGAATTGTGAGAGGGTGCAGGCCAATTGAGGGACCCTACTGGTGCATGTGCATGAATCCGTGCATTGGGCCTCTAGTGTTACTATCATATTACTAAAATGAGACCATCTTTTTTTTTTTTTTTTAATATATTTTATTGGTTTTCCACAGAGAGGAAGAGAGAGGGATAGAGTTAGAAACATCGATGAGAGAGAATCATCGATCAGTTGCCTCCTGCACACCCCCTACTGGGGATGTGCCCACAACCAAGGCACATGCCCTTGACCAGAATTGAAGCTGGGACCTTTCACTCCCAAGCCGATGCTCTATCCACTGAGCCAAACCCGTTTTGGCGAGATCATCTTTTTTTTTAATCCTCACTTGAGGATATTTTTTTTCCTGTTGCTTTTCAGAGAGTAGAAGAGAGGGAAGCAAGGGAAGAGAGAAACATCAATGGGCCCTGACCAGGGTATGGAGCAAACCTGCAACCGAACAAAGTACTTGCCCTTGACCAGAATTGAACCCTCAACCCTTTGGTGCACAGGCAGATGCTCTAACCACTTATACACCAGCCAGGGCAAGAGACTATATTTTAAAAGCATTTCCAACTAATTCATTTTCAATAATTCTATAAAAATATTATATGAACCCTAGCCGGTTTGGCTCAGAGGATAGGGCGTCAGCCTGTCTGTGTTTGGTTCCAGTCAGGGCATGTACCTTGGTTGCAGGCTCCTCCCTGGCCTGGGCCCTGGTCAGGGCTCATGCAGGAGCCAACCAGTAGATGTGTTTCTCTCTGTCTTTCCCTTTCTCTTCCATTCTCCCTGAAAAAAAAAAAAATCAATGGAAAATATATTTGAGTAAAGATTAACACACACACAAAAATTACATGAGACTAGTGGCCCAGTGCATGGATTCATGCACATTAAAAGGAAATTAATTAGAATTCCTAGGGCAGCTGCACAACTCAAAGGGCATCTGCGAAACGGGGGGCAGGGGGGCAAAAAGGAAGAGTAAGAGGGGAAGAGGGAGGGGAAGCTCACACTGGGGCATTTCTGCTCACCGTGCTGGCTCCAGTGCAGGTGGTCCCAGGTGATGGCCAGCAGGGCAGGACTGGGCGAGACAGGCTGGGCATGCCCTGAAGCCAACCTCCCAGACCGCACCAGGGGCAGCACCATGGCTTGAAAAGTGTCTGCAGAATGAGCAGTGGGGTCCCTCTGGCAGGTGGAGTCACTCGGCCTGGCCTGTGGGGATTGGGCTGAAACCAACTGACTCTCCAACATCTCTCAAAGGGTCCTGGAGGGTGAGAGGGCACTCTGCAATGTTGCTGTAATACAGGGTGTGGAATGTAAACGCAAGTGTGTAGTAAACCAGATTCGGGACCGACAGTGCCCTGGGAAACCATAACCCACAGCCAAAGGTGGAATCACACAGCCCCGCAAGGAATTGAGCTCCCCCTTCTCTGGTTTCAGGGTGCTTCCCCAGAGAACTGCCATTGCCAAGTCACGGTAGCTTGGCAGCTCTTTCGTTGAGAATCTGCCCCCTGATGGTCAGTGCACATTATAGGTACCAGCTGGTTAGCCTTTTATATATCTAGATTATATCTAAATAAAAATATTAAATTCTTTTCTAAAATGTCTACCTTTGGTATTATTAAGTTCTTTATATAATATCCTATCCAATGTAGGGTTAATAATTTAAAATGTGGATCCTCCAAATACAGATTGTGTCTCATTATAATGTGGAATCATAAGCACTGATGGAAATGTTTATTTCTACTTGGGTGTAGAGCATAACAAGTGGCAAAGGACGATGTAATTACTTGGTCTCCCCAGTCAAAGTGGTTGTGACATGCAGCTGTCCCGGGAGAGTGCCTGACTGAAACTTAGCGACTGCATCCTTACTAATGGTTTTGAATTGCAAATACAAACTGCTCAGAAAGTAATAAAGAAGAAAAAAAATTCTTGACTGAGCACATATGCCGTAAAACTCTCTAGCATTAATATCCTCACCAGGGTGCCTGGGAGTTCTGCACTGCATGGAGCCCAGCTGAGAGAGAACAGTTGCTTCCCACCTAGAAGACAGAATGCCTGGGAGCTCAGGCAATTTGTCAGCAGTTCACCAGTCACTTACTCTTCCACAATCAAACAAGTGAATTTTTGAAAGATCTTCCATTACCCATGACAATAGCTCATATTGAAGAATGTGACAACTCACAAAGTACCAGTTTTAAAGGTTACTTAGTGTTATCTATTTTTTAAATCACTTATATAGAAATAGCACCTTAGCCAAAACTAACATACTTCCCTGAATATGCTTGTAGCTTTTTTTTAAAATATAAATTTTTATTGATTTCAGGAAAAAAAGGAGAGGGAGAGATAGAAACATCAATGATGAGAGAGAGCTGCCTCCTGCATTCCCCCATTGGGATCAAGCCTGCAACGAGAGCATGTGCCCTGACTGAGAACAGAACCATGACCTCCTGGTTCATGGGTCAACACTCAACATCTGAGCCACATGACTGGCCTGCTTGTAGCTTTTAATAGTCATCAAGTCCCCAACTCCACCACCAAAATGATTGGGAAGAGGTCGGTGTTGCTCTGGTGTGGCACACCTTGGCAGTGATTGTGCATGTGGGGCTATGAGTGAACACAGACACTTACTGCAGTGAAAACAAGATAGAGCTGCCAGACAGGATGACCATGGGGAGCAGGCAGTAACCCAGCACACTCGCAACACAGCCATAGGACACTCCGGAAGAGCTCATCAAGTTCAGTAAGGCATAAATCCCAAGGCAGCCGATGGCACTCATGCCATATATGTAACCAAACTGAACTTTTCCCGCCTGAAACAAGGAGAAGAAAACCATTTGAATACACAGAAAGCTTCAAGAGAAAATCAGGGAGTCAATAAATCAGAGAGCATTTTAGAATCAATCAGATCAGCGCTGTTCCGTATCTTTGTAGTGCTTACAATTATCAGGAGACTAGGAGCTCTGGGTAATACACTTACTATGTTATTAATTCAGGTCCTGAAAACACACAACCCTGACTATACTTGGGATGGCACAAGTATGCTAGAGAAGATGAAATGTTTTTAGGTTCATTTATTTTTTTATTTTATCACAGATTGCCTATTAGAGCATAAGAATATATTTTCTCCCCATATTTGTTAAATAATAAATGAATTAATGAAAAAATTCCAATTTAGACTTAGTTATTTACAAGGCATATTAGTAATACTAGTGACCCGGTACATGAAATTCGTGCACATTAAAGGGGACTTAATTAGAGGAAATGTTTTAATATTGCTATTTGCCCTTTCTCTATAACAGAAGTGTCAGAGATGAAAGAAAATTAGTAAAATGTATATGAAAATCTTCCTCCTGTCAGAGTCTGGGGTACACCATGGGATCAAAGTCAAGTTCCTGCCCACCCACATGCACATGCACCTCGAAATCAAGCGAGATCCAGACTTGACTGACCCCACTCCCATCAAACCCTATGGGTGGGGGAAGGGGAGGGGTCTGAGGTCCCCTGTCATGTCATAGCAAGTGGGGAGGTACGCTCTGAGGTCCCCCATCAAGTCCCGGGTAGGGGTCATGGCCCCAGGTCCCCCAGCCTGGTGCCAAGGCAAGAGGCGTGACCTGAGGTCCCTCGTCAAGTCCTGCTGGGCGGGGGTCACAGCCTGAGGTCCCCCACCCAGGCCCAGCACCACACAGTCTCAGGTCACTGCTGATTGCTACAATAGTTAAAGCTTGTTATGGGAACTTGGCCTCCGCGGTGGGCACAGCCATTTTGTTATGGTGTGATAGTCAATTTGCATATCCCCTCTTTATTATGTAAGATAAGCAAATATCTATAGGATTTGCTATGTTAGGGTCTATTCTAAGCATTTCTGTAACTTATTTAATCTACACAACCATCCTATGAGATAGGTAGCATTATTTTATCAATTTTACACAGGAGGAAATTGAGGGGCAGTAATTCCTCAAAATAAAATAATGCTAATCGGTTAAAGTTGGTATAGTCTGACTCTAAAATGTAGGTCCTTAACTACAGGAGCTTTAATAATTGAACTTACTTGACCTTTTATTACCCAGCATATCCTAAACTTACCACAGAAAGTTTTGTTTTCATAAGGCCAGTTTAACTGAACATACCTTACGAAAAGTTGATTTATATAAACTGCCTGGTAATGAATCATAAAAGAGGCACTGTTAATGGAATTCATCGGTGTTCGGGATATACCACTGAGCTTCTGAGATTTATAAAAATAGCCACCACTCACAAAGCACTAGGGTCTAGGAGCTGCAGTATCTCCATTAGATTCATCTGGGGTAAGTGCGATCTATCATTAACTGAACAGAGGAACAGAGGGTATTTTAATGTTGGCTACCTGAGGATGCCAATGCTCCAGTCAAGATAGAATTTAGTTTTTACATTTAAATTAAACTGACTAGAAATTCTACATAAAGGTTGGATAAATTGGCTTTGGTTCTCATGGGAATTATTAAAAATCAGCAAAAAAATCAGCAAAGGATCTGGTAAGTTGATTCAGAGAGTTTTTCAGCTGTCCTTTTTTTTCTTTTTCTTTTTCTTTTCCATAGCTGTTATTTGTGAAGTTCTTATGTCTTAGAGAGCAAAGAAATATTTATTAATGAAGGGTATTGGAGAATGTTGTGACTATTTTAATGATCTAAACTTTCCAGCAACTCTTCTTCTTCTGTTGTTATGGACACTGGTCACTACTAAGTTCCTTCACAAAATTGTCCCTGGGATACATTGGCAAAATGCTCTCTTGCATTAGCCAAAGTAAGTTCTCATTGAATATCTTTTATATTCTTTTGGAATTCTTTTGTATTATTTTGTGAAATAACATGGATGCTAATGGACATGCTAAAAAACACATCAGTTATGCACTGCATCATTGGGTGGGTTTACTCAACTTGGAAAATAGAGACACTTTCTAATCACTTTTAAGTAGTAAACATTCTATTCAATATTTTAACTGAATGTGATAATTCTAAGGTAATGATAGTTGTAATGGTGAAAAGCAACTTCTCTACACCCAAAGGACACACAGTCTGAATTTCCTGGCCCCAGCAAGTTTTGTGAATAGGGTGGGGAAAATAAATGATGAATGAGACTAATTTGGTAGCAAAATTGTCCCGTTCCATATCAGTTATTGACATCTCTCTTCATATTCTCTCTTGTTATTTTATTCAATTTAAAGTACAATTCCACTTGGCAGGAACCAGTGCCATTTTTTAATTTGTTTTAAATTGTAACAAGAGCTTTTAGTTGAAATGGAAAATAAATGTTCCTTTTTTTCTTTTTCTTTCTTTCAATTTTTTAAATTACCTACAGAGAACAGATCCCAGATCCTTTGTTACCAGAGCAGGGAAGAAGGCGGTGAGGAGTGAACTAAAGGGGTAAAATGTGTTAATTGTATGCTGATCGATAGTAACTAACCTTTATGGAGAGATCACTTTGTAGTGTATACAGATGCCAAATTATAACGTTATACTCATGAAGTATTTATAATTTAAAAAAAGAAATAAAAGAAAAAGAGTTCCATTTCTTTTTAAACCCAAATTTTTCAGGATCCTTCCTACACTACCATCTTCATACTAAATCTGTATTTGAAATACTTATTCATGTGATTATCCTATATAATAAAAGGGTAATATGCAAATCAACTGAATGGTGGAACAACCGGTCGCTATGATATGCAATGAGCAGGCAGGCAGGTGAGCGGTTAGGGGTGACCAGGCAGCAGACAGAGTGGTTAGGGGTGACCAGGCAGGCAGGCAGGCAAGCAGTTAGGAGCAATCAGGCAGGCAGGCAGGCAGAGTGATTAGGGGCTAATCAGTTGGGAGCAAGCAGGCAGGCAGGCAAGCAATTAGGAGCCAGTGGTCCTGGACTGCGAGAGAGATGTCCCAACTGCCAATTGGATCGGGCCTAAACCGGCAGTCAGACATCCCCTGAGTAGTCCTGGATTGCAAGAATGCACAGGCCAGGCTGAGGGACTCCCTTTCCCGCCCCCATGCATGAATTTTGTGCCTCTAGTACTGTTACATTGACCATGCATATTCTTTTTTCAGTTCACACCATTAGGTCTATCTAAAAAAAAACAAATAAAATAAAATAAAAAAGGACCCATAGCTTTAAATCATTCATCTTTTAGATATAGAGACAGTAAAGCAACAAGCAGACTGTCAATTTACAGTGGGGAGGGGAGGGAGATCTGGGGAAGATAATAGATCAACCGAAGGACTTGTATACATGCATATAAGTACAACCAATGGACATAAAACTCTGGGGAGGGAGGGTATGTATGGGAAGGAGGGAGGGGGGGCAAAAAAAATCAATAAAATATATTAAAAAATAAAAATTAAAATAAATAAAATAAATAAATCACTCATCTTTATTGTATTGGGGGTGAAAAGAATTTTGAGAGAAATAACAATTAAAACTAAATTTGTGTTGTGTTTGAAGTCGTTCTTTTTAGTTTGCCTCCTTCAGCATAAAGAAAGTACACTAAAAGGTATTGTGCCTATATGTCAGCATAAATGAGAAAAATGATGAGTATGTGATCAAGAATCTTACACCTTAGAGGGACAATGAATAGATTTGGATATTGGTTCTGGATTTACTTTTGCTTTTTCAATATATATATATTGAAAAAAATCATCTTTTACAACTTTATTGATTTTTTTTAAGCGAGAGAGAGAGAAATACCATTTGTTGTTCTGCTTATTTATGCATTCATTGGTTTCTTGTATGTGCCCTGACCAGGAATAAAACCCACAACCTTGGCCTATCAGGACAATGCCATTCTAACCAACTAAACTACCAGGAAAAGGCTCATCCTTCACATTTTAACTGGATATATCCAGAGTCAGGTTAACTTAGCTTCAAATGAATTCTGAGTTAAATCTGACTTCACTTTATACCTACTTTATTTGTTTGTCTTGTCCTTGTTGCTCTACATGTGTCAGAATCAGTTCCTAAGTAACCACATTCTAATGTTAAAATTGAAGTGATAAAGTTTCCTTAAAAAGTTTCAGAAAATATCCATTTTCAAATATCCCCAAAATTTCAGAACTGAAAAGAATCTTAAGTCACTTTTAATAAATCTTGTTTTGTCTTCAAAATGAAGAAATAAAAGTTCAATAAACAGGAAACAAAAGATTCAAGATCACACCTAGAAGAAAAGTTAGGGGTAGATTCAATTTTCTTATTTCCAATTGATTTCTTTGCCTATACGGCTTTTTACTACTTATGACAAAAGAGAGGATACTTAATAAATAACTCCAAATAACATTGCACACCCTAAAAAGATCTTAATGGAATTAATAATTTACTTTAAAGGATGGTGCTGGTAGCATTTCTACAGAAAAAAACAAACAAACAGCTGTTATATTACTTGAAAAAGAAAGATGAGTTAATATATTAAATTGACTGTTTCTGACTACTTGATTAATTGACACAGTCTTACTTAGCAGCATTTAATCTAAGATTATCAAATTACTGAGACAGAGACAGAAAGGAGGTTACAGACTAAATTAAAACTCCAGTTGATATAGTATTTGATTTATAGAATATCTGTATTTCCTGTAGTTCAAAGGAAGAAATAGATTCTATCACTAAATACTATTGTACTAGATAAATATGTTGTGATTATAGGCCACATGATCACGCAGAAACTAGACTTCTATTGGTGTTTTGATGCTAGTATTAAGTAGTTAATAAATTAAAAGTGAAAATGTATATAATTGCAAATAACACTTTACAGCTACTTTTAAAAATTATAACTACATTGGAGAAAAATAATTATGAGTAGTTGTAAGAAAGTGAACAAGGCCTAAATTTTTTTTTAATTTCCTGCATTATTTCTCCTGCAAAGTTTATCACTTTATGCTTTAATAGAGCCATATTTTTTTTCAGGCTAACTTGACCATATTTTTCATCCTGTGTTGTGTTTTTTATTAATACCCACTTGAGCATATGATCATTGATTTGAGAGAAAGAGAGAAAGGGAAACACTGATGCGAGAAAAACATTGGTCGGTTATCTCCTGCACATGCCCTGACCCTGAGGACTCTCCAACCAACTGAGCCACCCACCTGGGGCCATCCTGTGTTTTTAATGTATTATCATTCTCTTTTTGGTATAAAAGCATAAACTTTTTCTAATTTTTATCTTTCTTTTAAAAAATGAAACATTTTTCAAAATGATAAGCTAGAATGCTATCTAAACTTAACTTAGGTGGAAATAGGTGACTTAAAAATCTTTTTGGCATATTTTGATATTATTATTCCCAGATATAAAGAATGAAAGAGGCACATACACAAGGGAAATGGTCAAAGTTAGCAGGGGGGGGGGGGGTATATCATCATAAAAAGAATAAAACTGCCCTAGCCAGTTTGGCTCAATGGATTGAGAATCAGCCTGTAGACTAAAGGGTCCTGGGTATGATTCCAGTCAAGGACACATGCCTGAGTTGCAGGCTCGATCCCTAGTAGGGGGCATGCAGGAGGCAGCCAATCAATGATTCTCCCTCATCAATGATGCTCCTCTCTCTCTCTCTCTCTCTCTCTCTCTCTCTCTCTCTCTCTCTCTCTCTCTCCCCCTTCCTCTCTGAAATCAATAAAAAAATATTTAAAAAAAAGAAACACTTCATAGGATACTAGAAATACCCTAGAGATACACCCCAACATCAAGAAAATGATGAACAAAGAGAAAGAATTTGTCCTGTGTCACAATACAAATTTCACAAAAAGCAAGAAATGAAATTTAAGCCTTAAATTGGCCAAGTTCATGTGCTCCTTCAACTATTCCAGATTGACACTTTTTTCTTAATAACAAGAAGGACCTAAATGATTACCTGCTTTGTTAAAAAAAAAATTTGATTTGGTGATTTTATCCTTAAAATTTTATTTAAATTTCTAATTTTTTTTTTTTATCAGTTGTAATGCATGATGGCAGTTTCTATTTTGTCACTATAGTTGTATGAAGCATGTCTCTATCTCACCCCCTAAAAAAATGTAGCCACAAATTAAACAGACAATTTTCACTGTATAAAGTGACATACTGCCTTCTGGGTTTCCAAAGCACTCTGCGAAAATCACATGGGGAAGGACACACATTTCAACCTGATGCTGCTGTCCTTTACCAGAAGCAGCATGGCTCCCAGCGCCACACAGAACAGGAGGGGCCCAGCCAGGTCGGTTTCATTCATAATGCTGCCATCTGCTGGCTTCAATGGGTTTAACACTGTCAAGGTTTTTTGCCATATGTGATCAAAATTAATTCCAAGTTCTGCAAAAGAAAAAAAAAGGGAGGGGGGGGGAGAGAAGGTAATATAAATATAGAAAAATATTTATATTAAAAATATAAACCTCAGAATAGAGTACATCAAATATAAACATCAAATATTAGAAAAATAAACATCAGTAATATTCTTTCAATAAAGTTAATATATTTGATTTACTTGCTTAGAAGTTTAATCTGATCGTTAGAACTTTGTAATCTAAAACTCCAAGTAAAAGTCTAAACCATAAATAAGGTTAGATTTTTATTTGCAAACAATGAGCTAAGAGAAATATTTTAGACAAATACTTCCATAAGGAAAAGTATCCCTGACTTATGTAGCTAATACAAGCTTAAATCTAGCTGAAAATTTGGCAATGAACATTTTACAGTAAAAACTAAAATGTAAAAGTAGGCCCCAAGTCCCATCCTATTATCCATTTATACATTTCCTTTCCCTGCAATTCCCATTGCTAACACTTTGGAAATATTGTTATATCAAACATAGTATAATTTTTTTTTCCCTGGAAGAACTATAGATAAACTAGAGATATTTGTCCCAGGTCTAGGGTTTCCTTTGACATGGCCTAGGAGAGGAGAATGCTGTCTGCTTTGAATGCCACAGAGAAGAAAGAGAATGGCCTTTTCAGCAAGTAAACGGAATCATGATGTGCACACATATTTTAACAAGCTAAATGCTCTGCGTGGTTGAGTTTGTGTTTTTAGAGATTACATTCTTTATTTAAAAAAAGAAAATGTTTTTATTTATTTCTGAGAGGAAGGGAGAAGGAGAGAGAGATAGAAACATCAATGAGAGAGGGTCATTGATAGGCTACCTCCTGCATGCCCCCTACTACAGATGGAGCCTGCAACCTGGGAATGTGCCCTTGACGGGAATCAAACCTGGGACTCTTCAGTCTAAAGACCCATGTTCTATCCACTGAGCCAAACCAGGTAGGGTAAGATTAAATTCTTGAGAAAAGTTAACTGTTCCCTTTTATTAGAGGTCTCGGTGGAATAAAATATCCTGCCATTTGCAATAACATGGATAGAACTTGAGGGTATTATGTGAGGTGAAACAAGTCAAGAAAGACAAATATTGCATGATATCAACTATATGTTGAATCTAAAATTTATTTAAAAAAATAGTCAAATTATAGAAACAGAGTAGAAAAGTGGTTGCCAAAGGCTGTGGGACAGGTAGGGAAGTGGTTGGTATAATGGTACAACCCATCCCACAAAAACACACAAACAACAACAATAGAATCCATGCTTTTTATCAAGTCAACGGGAAGTCAATATAATGGTTGTATTTTTTTTTTTAATTGAGCCCAATTCTCCCATGTGAAGGATTGTCTCCCTAAATCATTTGTATGTGGCATTCAACTTCCCTTCCTAGAATTTGGTAACTCTCTTTGGTCAGATACAGAGTATACATAGTTCAACTTTTGCAGTGGCTCATGCCACCTGAACACCTTGCAAAGCTGACTTTTCTGTGCAGAGAAGGCCAGGTGGACCTTTAATAATGGCCATGACCCAAAGAGGCCTTGCTTTAACAGGGACCTTGACATTTTTCAGTCTGTCAGGCAGAAGTTGGTCTGACCTAGGATGGAAAGCATTTCTCTCACTCATTTCACATTCAGATTGATGACTACTATCCCAAGCTTGAAAAGAAAAATATCTGGTTGGTTAAATTAATTGTGGGAAAATAATCTGTATTATAACATTCATGCTGCATTCTTTTTATTTTCACAGAGTATTTATTATTTCTTAATGAACATACAGTTTGGAGAATATAAGCAATTGGCCAAGCTTAAAATGAGGTTAGAATATCGGTTTTCAACCATCGTGCCGAAAGAATTTTCAAAACATGCAATACCTGATTATTTTGTCAGAGCACTTACCTCTTTTCACTTAAATTGTCAAATAAAAAATTTCAGAAGCCAACACAACAATAGCTGTCTTGTGTGAATGAATTAAAATCATGCCTATTTTTGTCAGATCTGCATAATTATATTATATATTTATTATATTATATTATAATTTTTGATGTGCTGTAGAATTTTAGTAATTAGTTTATGTGTGCCAAGAGTTAAAAAAGAAAAGGTTGAAAATTATTGGGTCAGAATGTCTAATATAATTTTTAAAAGAGCAGACTTTAAAAAATTTATAGGTGAATTAATTTCACCTGAAATTTATGTTGCTTTGAAAGTTCATTTTAAATTTAGACATTTATGTTAATAATGTTTTGAGTATTTGCCACAATAAAGTAGCCTTTAATTCAAAATATTTTTTTTCTGAAAATGCATAATTATTACCAAAGAAAATCAGATGCTTTATGAGACATTATTACTGATTTCGATCATGTATTTAATGGAATAAATAACTTCTATATATGTTCCAACATTGAGTCAAAAACAATAACTGAACCTAAGACATACTAAATATTTTCATAAGAAAAAAGATTTTATGTATTTCCTACCAAAATACATTGCCATAATACAGGATGGGACAAAAGTAGATTTGCAGTTGTGAGTACATGAAACACAGGGTTTATTGTTATTTATGAATTATTGTATTATTTTCCATATAAACAACTGTAAATCTACTTTTGCCCCACCCTATATTTTGTTTTCAAATGTATTACAAGGTATGCAAATGAGATTATAAGTATTATTAATTATAGATACTCTAAATATTATACCTTATTATATAAAATAAGAGAAAATTGCTATGAAATTTGAATGCAAAATTATTGTTCTAGTGTCATCTAGTGGTAGTAAAGTATAAGATATGTAGGTGCTATAAAAATGAATTAACATTTTTATTTTTTATGCAAATTGTGTCATTGGCCTTTGAAACACAAACATCAGGCTATGCAATAAATACCAAATATCACAGTAATTTTTCTGGTCTGATAGACTTCAATTGACTATTAGCCTTCAAGGTGTATTTTTTTTAACATATTGATTGTATATTACTGAATAGCAAAAGTTATCATTCTTACACAAAACTAAACAAGCCTTTTTAGACAACAAAGCATTTAAGGCATAAACAAGCAAAGTTTCAAAATAACATGTTTTTGTGCAGGGGATGTTTTATTATAGATTCATAATTTTATAGGTTGTCTTAATGCAAACTCTAAAAAAAAGCTGGCAAAAGTCATTCATCACCTTATCGCAGAAATTCTGCCTAAGGCCTTTTAATATATTTTATAGATGAAGCTTGAGACTTTCACAAAGTCATTCAACCTGAAGAAGGTTATTAGAACAGAGCTTAGAAATTCATAGATTCAAAGTGCAAAATTATAGTAAGTGCTCTGTCTTCTAACATATCTAACATAGGGATAATCACAAAGGGAAAAAATAATCAATACATTTTCGCTGATATGCGTAAAGTGGGAAGGGAATTTTGTTAACTGTAGCAATAGCACATACCTCCTTCTGATTCCCCACACACACATGCGGCAGACTTCCCCTGGTTTAAGTGTCTTGAAGAGGCAGATTTGTTTACATGTGGAACAGTCATACACAAAACACTGTATGCATCATGCTGACAAGCACACGCTGCGTGCTCATTATTGCTATTATTCTCGAGCTGTACACACATTAACAGCACTTCCTTAACTTATCTTCTAGCAAAGGAGGCTCTTCATCAAAACTGTCAACGTAGGGAGATTGTGAATAATAATCCAGGTTGGAGGCTGGCTGAAAATACTGTCCAGTGTAGCCTGATGACATGAGCATCTCCGGGGGAACAAAGGCACGCTGAGGCTGCTCCATGGCCTGCTGTCTAGAGAAAGGAAAACACTGGTATCTATGCATCTAAGAAAGAGATATCATGACACATCAAGGAAATGAAGGAAACAAGAATTTCTCTTTCACAAATTATAATATTCTAGGTTTTATGAATATTTAAGCATGAAAGAAAGAACTTGCTTAGAGTTGAACTTTCATCAAAAAAAGTGAATTCATGCCAAAGCCGGTTTGGCTCATTAGTAGAGCGTTTGGTCTGCTGACTGAAGGGTCCCGGGTTCGATTCCGGTCAAGGGCATGTACATTGGTTACAGGCACATCCCCGGTGCGGGGTGTGCAGGACGTAGCTGGTCGATGTTTCTCTCTCATCAACGTTTCTGGCTCTCTCCCTTCCTCTCTGTAAAAAATCAATAAAATATATTAATTAAAAAAAAGTGAAGTCACTGGTCATGAAAAGACTTCTAGAAGACTGATCCATACCAACTAATATGTATTGATTATGTACAACATGCTGTCACTTTTTCTTACATTTCCCCATGTAATTAGACTTAGTAAAGTAAAATCTGTCATTTTAGCCCCATTTTACAGAAAGAGAAATAGAGGATCCTGGAGACTGAATGACTTGCCTAGAATCATAGAATACAGCAAGTGTCCATCTCTGAACTAAAGCTGGCTGAGCACTCTGCCTCATACACACACTGGTACTCATGGCAATCACCAAACATGGACGTCCTTTATAAATGTAGGGAAGCAGCAAGTGTAAATCACAATTTTAATAGTATAGCCAATGCATAGGAAAAAATAAATGTATAAACTGACTGCTGTCCATAAAGAAATAGACTTTCTAGCTCTGGCCATTCCCAGACAATTATTGCCACTCAAATCATCTGTGAGCACCTAACTGAAAGCATTCAGTAGCATCCCTCTTTTGAAGTATGCAATTTAGTTTGTCCAAGGAAGTTTCTTGTCAAACATGACACTTCCCTGACCATGTTATTTTTATTTTATTTTATTTTATTATTTTATTTTTTTCATCATTTGTGTCAGGAAGCTGGAAAACAACCATCTTAGTAAATAATTTCTTATGAAAGCTAGAAAAAGGAGGAGTGTGTGACATTATTTGGTTATTTTTTATTGTGTTTTTTCTGAAGGAAGGGGAAGAAATATAAATTGTCCTTATTAACATGTGTTAAATTTATCTGATCAAAATATCTTAGGCTAGCCGGGACCGGTTTGGCTCAGTGGATAGAGCGTCGGCCTGCGGACTGAAAGGTCCCGGGTTTGATTCCGGGCAAGGGCATGTACCTTGGTTGCGGGCACATCCCCAGTAGGGGGTGTGCAAGAGGCAGCTGATCGATGATTCTCTCTCATCGATGCTTCTAACTCTCTCTCTCTTCCTCTCTGTGAAAAATCAATAAAATATATATTTTAAAAAAATATATCTTAGGCTAAACTAAGCTAAAAATATAGCCCAGGATTATAAACTTTGTAGCTTTCTGGGATCTCTTTATGTTAAAATACTTACAAAATGTCTTTTTATACTTTCCTTCCAACATTCATCTTAATATGAAGTCTAAGAATAACATGTTCACCTCCCTTATATGAATAAGCATGAAAGAGAAGATATCCTCTTTTGAAAAATAAAGCTATAAAGTAGAAAAATATCTACATTTAATCATTTACTAACTCACGATGAGCTCATTAAGGGCAGAGACCTCGTATAATACTTCTTGAATCACCCACAGCAGCAAATTTCAAGTAGTTGCTGTGCTGCAAGAATTTTTCAAAAATGTAAAACCTGTCTAGTTAGTCAGGGGCACTAACCTTTTCCCCCTTTATATTGTCAAATTTAAAAAAATGACAACAACCAACACAATAGCCATCTGGTGTGAATGAGTCAAATTATACTTTTTTTTCCTTAGATTGGCAAAAAATACATGTTTGTGTGCTGCAAAATTTTAGTGTTTGTGTGTGACAGAGATAAAAAAAAAAAAGGTTGAAAATTGCTGTTCCAAACCATATGTTGATTACTGCTATTGTTCGTGAAATAATGTGGCATATTTCTAATCTTTCTTTAAAAAAGAAAAAGAAAATATTTTTATTGATTTCAGAGAGGAAGGGAGAGAGAGAGAGAGAGAGATCAATGATGGTAAGCATTGATTGAATCATTGATTGGCTGCCCTCTGCATGCCTCCTCCATGTGCCCTGACTGGGAATCAAATCATGACCTCCTGGTTCATAGATCAATGCTCAATCACCGAGCCACGCCAAACAGGCTCTAATCTTTCTTTTTTAAAAAGTAGGCCCACTATCAAAAGTACTGGTAGAAACTGAATGGCTTTTGGTTGATAAAGAGTTCCCTAGATATGTATTTTTTTTTTTTAATGCAACTAGTTCTAGAAGAATGAAAGGGACAAATAGAGATGATTGAATAAACTAGTGTCTAAAGACTATTTTATTGACATACTAGAGACCCAGTGCATGAAATTCGTACACGGGGTGGGTGTGTCTGTCAGCCCAGGCTGCACCTTCTCCAATCTGGGACACTTCGAGGGATGTCCAACTGCCTGTTTAATGGACATCCCTCTTACAATCTAGGACTGCTGGCTCCCAACTTCTTGCCTGCCTGCCTTCCTGATTGCCCCTAACTGCTTCTGCCTGCCAGCCTGATAACTCCATAACCACTCCCTTGCCAGCCTGATTGATGCCTAACTGCTCCTCTGCCAGACTGTTTGCCCCTGTGAAATAATGTGGCATATTTCTGCCTGGTTCCCCCCAACTGCCCTCCCCTACAGGCCTAGTCCCCTGCAACTGCTCTTCCCTGGAGGCCTCGTCGCCCTCAACTTTCCTCCTCTGCCAGCCTGGTCCCCCTAACTGCCCACCCCTACAGGCTTGATCACCTCCAACTGCCCTTCCTTGCAGACCTGGTCCCTCCCAACTGCCCTCTCCTGCTGGCCTGATTTCCCACAACTGCTCTTCCTTACAGGCCTGATCCCTACCAATTGCCCTCCCATCCTGGCCATCTTGTAGTGGCCATCTTGTGTCCACATGGGGGCAGCCATCTTGTGTTGGAATGATGGTCAATTTGTATATTGCTCTTCTATTATATAGGATAGAGGCCTGGTGCATGGGTGGGTGCCAGCTGGTTTGCCCTGAAGGTGTCCTGGATCAGAGTGGGGGTTCCTTTAGGGCATGGAGTAGCCTGGGCGAGGGGCCTGCGGTGGTTTTCAGGCTGGCCATGCCCCCCCCCCCCCCCCCCTGTGGTCCAAGTGGAGGCCCTAGTATCTGGGATTTATGTATCTTCTATAATTGAAACTTTGTAGCCTTGAATGAAGGCCTGGGCCAGCCAGGGTGTGCAAAAGCTTGGCTTCCTCCACTGCTGGGGAAATCCAAGCCTCTTGGCTGCTCCATGGCTTCAGCCATCTTGGTTAATTTACAAAGTATTTGTCTGCTCTTTTGTTCCTGATACTGACACTAAACAATTCTAAACATCTTTCATACACCCTGGCAGAGCATCTGTATCTGTAATAGTTGCCTTTCCAATTAGTCACTTTCTCAAAGAAAACAATGCAATTAGGAGGCTAAGAGTTTGAACCTCTTCTGTGATGATCACCTTTAGCTTTTCCCCATGTTGGTTTCCCTGGAATATCTAAAGTGACTTTGACAACATCCCAGCCATTCCGTGCTTTCCTTCCAGAAGAACCTCTACTCTACTCACGTCAGGATTTCTGTGTCTGAGCCATAAAGCAATGCCGGCACACCTGATCCACCTAAAAATCCTTAGAATGCTCACCAATTCGTCAATATTCCCTTTCATTGCCCAAACCGTAATGTTCCGTGGAATCTCCAGAGGCCTGTCTTCACTTACATAATACTGTGTTAAGATAAGGCATGGTCTCTTGCTGGGGCAAGTTTTTGACCTCTTTCTGAATTAACAAGACTTAACATTTCTCTTCAAATGCAAATACAGAAGGTCACTGTTAGAAGACTCAGTTATGATTTCTGAGATTGCAGACTTGTTGATTGCACACGTTTCCCTGCACCCCATCACGAAATCACTAACTAGATATTTTATGGGAGGCTTTGTTTTCTAAAACTATAGATTTGGACGTCCATCCTGAGACTTTTAATTGAGCTGCTTTCCTTTCAGTTCCTCCGGGAATACTGGAGGTGCGCTCACTCTGAGTCATGTGGAGAGCCGGAGTGTAAATCAGATGGTAAAAAATTTACCATCAAATAAGTCCCATTCATTGTAAGTCTATCTCCACACTTAGAGTCACATTCAAGTGCATGTGTATTCTACCTGAGGCGACAAAGTTTTCAGAATTTGCTATGCTATCAACAGCGTAAGACAATATGACATATCTACACTGTTGACTAAAAGAATTTAGTCAGAACCTCCAGAAACATTTTATCTATTTAAGTCTCCCATCAAACCAGTCAAATCAGGCATTCTACGTGAACTTGGTAAGAACACATAATATAGGATTAGTTCAATGGTAGAGTGGTTTAAGAAAGAGTAGCTAGGGTAGTTAGCCTAAGTAACATTCCAAAATCCTGGCTAGTCCAGCAAGTGCACAGTAACCATGTGCCACTGACATGCCATCAGCTAGCAGTGATTGGAAATGATGCCTACCCCAAGGACTGGATAGAAATTTTAAAATGAGAACGCTCCTTGTTCGTTCTAAAATAAGAGAACTTGTTTTGAAATATAAATATCTTCATTGTTTTAGTTAAGTACAGTCAACCAGCTTTCATGTGATTGAGCTGAAATTAACATGCTATTGAGCTGAACAAGCCTTTTAAAGGAAGCTCCCATTTATTGGGTAGGAGGGGTATGGGGGAAGACAGAGACAGAGTGATAGATTAATTGATTATAACACTATTACTACCCTCTGGATTCCTATATCTTTTGGCAGGATGATCAACATATTATTTTGACTTGGGTAGTATTTTAATTGAACTACTCACTGAATGAATAAAAGGTCAAATCTCTGGAGTTTGTTTGATGTACACGAGTAATTTACTGGCCCGAGTCCATGTTTTATGTACTCATAAAATTACCATAGCTAGCATGGCCTTTTCTAATTCCTGAGACATGCAGTGTGGGTTAGAATTTAAATGTTACCACCTCCAAATAAGGACTTGAATTTAAATTTGAATAAGCAGGCAAGGCCATTAACCTGATACAATATAATCAAAAGTTTTCCTCATTTGGTTATATCAATTTCCATCTTATGGTCATCTTGATTTCTGGGCAACATTGATATGTAAAATCAAATGGAGAAAGAAATTGGGCTGGGTGAAATATGAGAGAAAGCTGTGATCATAAGTCCCTGCTTAAAGGGGAAAGCTTTATTGCCTTCTTATTATACATTTCAGGATAGTATAATCTGAATATATAGACTGCAGGTGCTGCCCAGGCGTTTAGCTCAAATGGAGCAGGGAAGGGAGAAAAGAAACAGAAATTCAAGGTGACTGGTTCTTTTCAATAAAACAAGAGGACGGAGCTGAAATTTTTTAGATAGTTCTCAGTATGGATTATGTATTTTGAGATACTATCCTGTAATACCTCAATATTCAAACTGCTTTGCCTGAAACACCTTTTTATTTTTATTTTTCTTGACCTTCCAAGGTATAAATCCAAGGAATAATATGAAGTTATTTTTCTGTTGTTGGATTCTTCAGTGATTGAGCCAATCCTACAGGACCTTGTCCTTTTCAACAATTTTTTTTTATATTTTATTGATTTTTTACAGAGAGGAAGGGAGAGAGATAGAGAGCTAGAAAAGTCGATGAGAGAGGAACATCAACCAGCTGCCTCTTGCATACCCCCTACTGGGGATGTGCCAGCAACCAATGTATTGTACATGCCCTTGACCAGAATCGAACCCGGGACCTCTCAGTCCGCAGACTGATGCTCTACCACTGAGCCAAACCTGTTTCGGCTCAACAATTTTTTTTTTTAACGCTCATCTGAGAATACGTTTTCATTGGTTTTTAGAGAGAGGAAGGGAGGGAGGGAGGGAAGAGCTAGAGAGAGTGGTAAAGAGAGGGAGTGAGAGAGAAACATTGATGTGAGAGAGAAACATCGATCAGTTGCTTCTGATGCACACCCCAACTAGTAACAGAACCTGCAACCTTTAGTGTACAGGAGATGTCCAACCAACTAAGCCACCTGACCAGTGCTTCGCCCATTTATATATATAAATGCCTAAGTGACCGAATGACTGGTAGACTGGTCACTATGACATGCACTGACCACCAGGGGGCAGACATTTAATGCAGGAGCTGACGCCTGGTGGTCAGTGCACTCTCACAGCAGGAGTGTTGCTCAGCTGACAAATGGGCACCAGATGCAAGCCTTTCCCGATCAGGACTGACTGGGCAGAAGCCTGCGGCAGGCACAGCGGGGCTGGACCAGGATGAGCAGAAGAGGCAGGCAGGAGTGGCAGGCGGCGTTGGAATGCCAGTTTTGGCCTGATTCCCGCAGGCAATGCTAAAGGACCCCACTGGTGCATGAATCCGTGCACTGGGCCTCTAGTAATTACATAGGTAAATAACATTGATGTAGTGGTTTTACTTAAATGTCTAATTTCCTACACATTAGCACAAATGTTCTTCATGATAATTTCATAAAGTGGGAATTATTAATGTCCTCATTTCTCAGTTAAGACACCAGTTAGGGAAGCCAAGTCTTTCCCAAGGTCACAAAGAACAAATGCAAGAGTCATAACTTAAACCAAATTCTTCTCACTCTAAATCCTCATTAGGGCACTGGTAAAAGATAAATACTAAATTTTTAATCATTTTTATTTATTTCAACTCAAGTTGAACTGTCAACTCAAATTACTAACACATTCTGAAATATGTTTATCTTGGTTCCATTTAGGAATTTTCACACTGTGTTATAACAGCATATTATAACAGTACCTCTAAAACTTCAAATCTTCAATGTTGTGAGGTAAGAAATTATGAATTTCTCCTTTATCTTTGGGTTTATAGTGCCCTTTTTTTATTCCTGACACACAGCAGGCACTCAATAAATATTAATTAAATTGAATAAAATGTTTTCCAAGCAGTGTCACAGAAAATACAGTCCCTATATTCAGGCTCCCTATTAAGTTCTATTTGGAAAAGAGAGTCAAGCCATTCAGCTATAAATGGTCTGAGGTGATCAAAGGGATTCTTGGAGAACTGAATTCATTTCTCTGCCCTTTCCTCACATTTCTTCTTGGGCACTTTACAAAGACGTGCTTTTGCTTCCTCCAAGGAAACCTTCCTACATGCCATAATATTATTACTTCTAAAAACAAGAACATATTTTTTTCAAAATAAGGTACTTACTCTCCGGATCCATAAAGATTTCCATAGGCATTGGAGTCATTACAACTCTGCTCCTGATTCTCAATGGTATAATTAGATTGGTAAAAATCAGAGTCAAATTGTCCCAAGTTTGACATCCTGAAAAGTAAGAATATTTTTTACTGCGAAGTTTAGGAGTCAATAAAGCATCTTTGGAATATTACAAAGACTAAAATGTGATGATAAGTAGGTTCTTACCAAAGAAAACTATATTCTTTGCATGGGGTAGGTTGAGTATCGGAGGAAGGATATGAAAATGTTCTAAAATGTCATTTACATAACATGTATCTTCAATGAACTTTTCTTAAGTTTTTATTCACCAGGTCTATGACTTTGCCTAAATTGATATTAATTGATCTGAAGAAGCTAACATTTCCCCCAAATGCCTTAGTCTCAGCAGTTTAAGATAAAAAGCCTAAGACTTGGTACACATCTAGAAAGTTTTCTTTTAAACAATGTCAGTTCCTTATTTCAATTATTATTTATGAGTAACAATTTACATTTAAAAGTTTTACATTTATATATATATATATATATATATATATATATATATATATATATTGCAAAGTCAAAAAGTCAAAAAGCAAGTGGCTGATAATAATGATATTATTTCTTTTTTCTTTTTTTTTCTGCGCTAACAGCCTCTCTGCTCCCTTCAGGCTGAGTCAGAGGGGAAAGGCTCTGTTCTGCTAAGGAAACAAATCTGTCTTCCTATAAACTCTCTACACAGTTTCTAGTCACTTTGGAGTGGGGAGTACATGACCTTGATTTAGACCTAACAAACAGGCATATCAGAGGGAAGAAGAAAGATTTGAGAGGAGGAAAAGGTAGGGGGAGAAAGGAAGAGCAAAGTAATGGTGGCTCTTTGGAAGAAAATTTGAGAATGGAGTAGAGAATATTTTCAATTGGACAGATATGGTTAGTCAATCCAACATTTTAATCTTTGCTTTTCTTTGAAAAACTTTTCATTTCAAAATAGTACATTTTAAAATCACTAGGAGTAACCTATAGAGTTATAGTAATTTGTGGAATAATACTTATAGTACATTTCAAATGCATCTCATAAACAGCCTTAGCTCTAGGAGCCTCATTAATCAGAAATACTCAAGTACAACTGTCAAGTATATCAAGTTTTCTCACTTTAGTACAAGTACAGAAACTTCTGTAAAATTAGGTGCAGTGATTCATATACCTGATTTAATAAATCAAGATTTTTTTCATTAATATTATGCATAAAAGTAGCTATAAATTATGTAAGCTAAAATCAGGACTCAGAGGATGTTAAATATTTTAACAACTTATAATTTAAAGAATTTAAAATTTAATAGCATAACTTTCTCAGTCCATTAAAATGCTATTATAAAGCATAGAGAGTAATTTCACTGGAGAATACACATGTGTTTTCATAACATGCAAAGCTTTATGTAATATGACTATTGGCAATAAAATCCTTATATAATCCAGCTTTATCTTTTGTTTAAATGCCAAGGTTTTTTTTAGAAGGATCAGACACATACCTTTATATTATTTTATGTTGAAAAATCCTCCAAGAAATGTTGCTCTGCTAGAGAAATTTATAACAAACCAGTTTGTGAAAAGATGACCTGCTGGCTAACTATGCGTTTCTAAATTTGACTCTGACACTGAACAGATGCTTGTCAAAAGCCAAACACAGTATCTTATTACACTTGTTAAAGTTTACAAACACAGTGAAAGGCAAAGAAACATAATTTGATTAAGTGAAATGGTAGATTCCATTTTCTTGTGGGCAAATCCCATTAAACTCTGACTTAGGATCATTTATTTGAGGTGAACAATGGAAGGTAAGAGGAAAACCCTTGAGCTTTATCGCCTATAAGAATAAACCTAGACAAGATTTTCTAATAATATGCAGTACAAATCCATATATGTGTGAAAAAAGTAAAGGGATTGAAAAGTACAAGTTGGTTGTTACAGAATAGCCATTGGGATATAGAGTACAGCATAAGGAATGTAATCAATGATATTCTAATAACTAAGATGTCTGATGGGTGTGAGATTTATCAAGATGATTACTTAGTAAGTTATGCAATATCCAGTCACAGGGTGTACATCTGAAACTAATATGTCAACTATAATTGAAAATAAAAAATGATAAAATATATATATACACTAGAGCAGTGTTTCCCAACCTTCTCTCATGATGAGAATCATCTGGTGGAGTTGTTAAAACACAGATTCCTGAATCCCAACTAAGAAGTGCTAAACTAGAATTTTTGGGAACATATAGGTAAAATTGTATACTTAACTAGTGCTCTAAGACAGATTTTATATACAGAGCACTAAGTTAGGTATGCAATTTTACCTATATGTTCTCAAAAATTCTAGTTTAGCACTTCTTAGTTGGGATTCAGGAATCTGTGTTTTAACAACTCCACCAGGTGATTCTCATCATGAGAGAAGGTTGGGAAACACTGCACTTGAGGTCTGGTGCATGAAAATTCATGCACTGGGAGGTTGGGCCCAAGCTGGCAATCAGGCATCCCTCTGGCAGCCCAGGAGCCCTCAGGGGCTGTCTGACTGAGAGCTTAGGGGAGTGAGCCTGAGCCACAGTCCTGCAGTCTTAGCACTGCCCTGGAGGCAGGAGAGGCTGCCATCACCGCTGAGCTCACAGCTGTCAGCCTGGCTTCGGGCTGAGCAGTGCTCCCCCTGTGGGAGCGGACTGACCACCAGGGGGCAGCTACTGCATTGAGTGTCTGCCCCCTGGTAGTCAGTGCCTGTTATAGAGACCAGCTGTTCTGCCTTTAGGGTCAATTTGCATATTACCCTTTTATTTTATAGGATTATTATATAGGATGATCTTAACATGATGAACTTAGCAACTATCTAAAAATGTATGTTGTCAATTTTACCCAAATATGAACTATTCAATTTATATAAACAACATTTAGGAAAGCTAAATGCAGTGGGGATAAGGAAAATAATCTCCATTTGAAATTTCTTAAGATATCTTTGGTGACCTGTAACGTATTGCAGAGATTGTGAGCTGAAATAGCTACATCTGAAACAATGTGCCCTTAGTCTGACAACAATATATACATATATGTATTAAAGGATGAATGGTTAGATGGATGAATGGGCACTATTTTCAACTGTGCATACTCAGGACCCCGTATTTCTATTAGCATCTATCAATCTAAAAACCATAGAAGATTATTACTTTCATTACTACAATCTTTTGATAGGTAACTAGAAGCTCAGAGTGGCTAAGTGACTTGTGTAAAGTAACACACCTAGTATATGACAGAACCCAGTTTCGAATAATAATTCTCTCATTCAGCCCAGTTTCCTTCCATTATGCAAACTGTTTCTTCCAAAAGACCACCTATGGCTGTCCAAAACACTGGTGCTAAGAATGTACCTGTGTGGCCCTAGCTGGTTTTGCTCAGTGGATAGAATATTGGTCTGCAGACTGAAAGGTCCCGGGATCAATTCTGGGCAAGGGCACATGCTCGGGTTGTGGATCGGCTGCCTCCTGCACATGCCTGATCCCCAGTGAGGGGCGTGCAGGAGGCAGCCGATCAATAATTCTGTCTCATCACTGATGTTTCTCTCTCTCTCTTCCTCTCCCTTCCTCTTTGAAATCAATAAAAAAAAATAATAAAAAAAATACATACTTAAAAAAAAAGAATATATCTGTTTGGAAACACGAATAATATTTATTCACAACTCCAATACATATTTTCAGCTGAACAAAGCTGCCAATGAACCAAGAGAAAAATGTCATCATTTCCTATCTCTGCCAACAGAGAAATGGCTTTTTACCAGTGTTTAGATAGTAATTCTTTATTTCGCAATCTGTATTGCAATTTTCTACTTATATTAAGACAGAAAAAAATGCAATACATTCTGTGTTCCATTAATTTAAAAAAATACATTTCTGCCTGTATTCTCTACATAATCCTTTGTTAATACTATATAAGATTTGTTCCCGATCATCTGACCTTTAAAGACTACGCTTCTTCTATTTCACGAACCTGAAATTGCAGCCCTGAATGTTACACACTCACATGAAAAATGAACATAAAATTCTGTTTTAAGGCATGAATTTTAAAGAGCTTACTGTGTCCTATGGAAAGAATAAAATTAAATTACAGGGTTTCCATCATTAATGCTATCATAATTACCTTTGATTTTTAATTTGCTAGCGTCCATTTTTGTCTTAGAAAAAATTGGAATATAACAAATTATGATTTCAAGTTTTTAGCTTGGTCATTACTGAATGTTAGTAAAAACACAATTTACCTTAAAGTTATGAAAGTTGATATGAGCAGTAGTTGAGTTGTACATTGTTAGTAACCATATTATTATAATAATCATTTTTAAATGTAAGAAATTCAATTTATATATTTAGCAGACTCATATCACAGGTTTTTATAGTAAATCTTTCCAAGAAGTTATATCTTATGCCTGTGTATATATGTGTATAATTAAATGTGTATAAAATATGAGAATTGGACAGAATTTTGCAACAGGAGCAATTAACCTAGTGGGGGCAAGTAGTAAATGCTCAAAATAGTGTTAGCTATTTTGATTATGCTTCTAGGTGAACACAAAGTTGTATTAATAACAAGTGTGAGTCATTATCACCCATTACTTATACAGAAATATTTTTTCGTGAACTCTACTTTGATCTACTTAAATCTATATGAAGCATCACCTTACGAAAAGATGAGGGGAGGACTATTTGCAAATGTGTCCTGCAAACAGGTTGTGATGAGACATAAAATACTTCTTCAGCATTCATCTCTTACATTTTAATAACAAAAATAGGAAGGCTAAGAATGGACTTTATTGCCAAGATACTACTTACTATTTTGACCAAACTCCCATAGATACCAGTTAGTATAGGTGAAATTTTATATTGGCTACATTACTTTTAGCAATGAAAGGTGAAATCCTTCCCAATGCTCTGCCATAATTATACCTGTGCAATTATGCCATTATTGTTTTTTTTCCCAAGGCATGCCAAGTTTAACTTCAATATTTTATTTTATTTTATTATTATTTTTTTAATATATTTTATTGACTTTTGTACAGAGAGGAAGGGAGAGAGATAGAGAGTTAGAAACATCAATGAGAGAGAGTCATCGATCAGCTGCCTCTTGCACACCCCCCACTGGGGATATGCCCGCAACCAAGGTACATGCCCTTGATCGGAATCGAACCCGGGGCCCTTCAGTCCCCAAGCCGACGCTCTATCCATTGAGCCAAACCGGTCCCAGCTAACTTCAATATTTTATTATATTCAGCATGAAAGTAGTTACAGCAGTTTGGAAAATAATGGCCAGTTGTCAATATAGAAATTCCGTTTAAAAAGACAGAATTCCCATCTTCTTTTGGCACTAGAATATCACTAACTACTTAAAGCTTTGGCACTAGAATCTCACTAACTACTTAAAGCTTTGGGTTTTAACCTAATGGGACATTTACTCAAACATTGCCTTGATATAGAGGAGCCCTTTTAAGGATAACTCTCTACTCTGTAGTATTTACAAACATGAGCTAGGGAAAGTGGTGGACAGAGTAACAAAATAATTTTTAAAAATATATTTTTATTAATCTTAAGAGAGAGAGAGACATCAATGATGAGAGAAAATCATTGATCAGCTGCCTCCTGAACAACCCCTTCTGTGGATCAAGTCGCAACCCAGGCTTGTGACCTGACCAGGAAATGAACCTTGTGCTTCATAGGTCGACACATTCCAGCTGAGCAATTTCATTTTCTTTTTAAAACAAATGATTATCTAGTTTAAAATGACACCAGGCTAGACACTTGCCTAACAATGACTAGAAACATACTTATGGGGGTTTATAAAAAGATAAATCAATCCACAATCAAAAAAACTAATCCTTGGAATTAACCTACTGCCAGAACCTGGGAAAATTTCTATGATAACACTAATAAGTCTATAGTGAGAAAATGACTTTTGACCTTCATATTCTTTCCTTTATGCAAAATAGCTTGCTTATATAAAAAAAAAAGTAGTGAGATTCAAGACCTCTGGAGAGTTAAGTTTTACACTAAATAGAAGAGAGAACAGCTGCCCCTCTTAGTGTAAGGATCTTGCTTTTATAAGTGTCAGTGGGATAAACCTGCCACTTGCTCCCGCGTTCTGACACATATTTCGAGAAAGTCAATCCTAACGGAAAGGAGGACTGGTGAAAGAAAATATGGTAAAGGGGGCTGGCTGAAGGTTCTTGCTAATGATGGTTCTGTGCATCCTAAAAACTGTCGCCCCACCCCCACCCCCACCCCGACCTCCATGCTGCCCTTTGAGGAGTCAGATACAAGAGGCACCCAGTGACAATGTTTATGGAGGAAATAGAGCTTTTCATGCACCACACTACTTCACTCACTGACCTGATGGGAAAGATGTGCAGCATGATACAGCAGGGTGTAGAAACTAATAGAAGAGTTGCCATTAGCACTTATTCTTATGTAAAAAGAACAAAAACATTAAGCCTTACTAATGGGGTTTACTGTACTCCCTGCCTGTCAGGCTTTACCTGCAGTGTGTGCGGTCCTCCAGGCAGAGTGGGAGCCCACAAATTGGAAGGGTTGACAGTGGTGCCCATTTTCATCCCTTCCCTTTTGTGTGTGTCTTTTTTTAAATATATTTTTATTGATTTTAGAGAGGGAGGAGAGAGAAACACCAATGATGACAGAGAATCACTGATCAGCTGCTTCCTGCACGCCCCCTACTGGAGGCCAAGCCCACAACCTGGGCATGTGCCCTTCCATCAGAATGGAACCTGCTATCCACTGAGCCAAACCAGCTCACTCAGCAGGGGTCCTCAAACTTTTTAAAGTGGGGGCCAGATCACGGTCCCTCAGAGAGCTGGAGGGCCGGACTATATGAACTACTAATTCCTACTGTAACACCTCGGCTGCGCTCACTGCCCAAAAAACCTGGCGGGCCGGATCAGACTCCTCTGCAGGCCGTAGTTTGAAGACGCCTGATAGGGCATCCCTTCCCTTTGTAGGGCCACAAGGCATGGTTGTTTATGAGTATCCTTTAAATGGAGTGATGTATTGGATTCCCTTAATTTAAAATTCCACTATGCACATACCTTCAAAGTCAAATTCAGAGTCAGAAAACAGATGAAATGAGAAGATAATGGATTAGGAAAACACACACACACACACACACACACACACACACACACACACACGAGCAGGAAGTCGACATTGAAAGAGGGTAGAGTTTGCCCTGGCTGGTGTGGCTGATGATTGCGTGTGGACCCATGAACCAGGAGGTCACTGGTGTGATTTGGGGTTGTGGGCTCGATCCCCAGTGAGGGCCATGCAAGAACCAACCTGTTGATGTTTCTCTATCATCAGTGTTTCTATCTATCCCTCCCCCTTCCTCTCTAAAAAAAAAAATCAATAATAATTAAAAAGTATTTTTACAAGTTAGCTTTTCGAAGCTCATACTCTAGGAAAGGTGCCAGTAGCAATTGCTAGTGGATCAAGTACTGTACAGTCATGATTTATAGCAGTTCCAAGAACCAACGAGAAACAATACAATGGTCCATGGGGCATCCCACAGCTTTTCTCCGTCCTCTGCACCAAACCCCAAGGGCTCTGGAGGGAGACAGACACTGGACCTCATCCTTTCTCTCTCTCTCTCTCTCTCTTTAAAATATATTTTATTGATTTTTTAGAGATGAAGACAGAGCGATAGAGTTAGAAACATCGATAAGAGAGAAACATCGATCAGCTGCCTTCTGTACACCCCCACCGGGGATGTGCCCTCAACCAAGGTACATGCCCTTGACCAGAATCGAACCCAGGACCCTTCAGTCCACAGGCCGACGCTCTTATCCACTGAGCCAAACCGGTTTCCGCCTCGCGTAGCCCAGCTCGGCCTCTGCAATTTACACTTGTGTCTGAATGCAAACTGAAAGGCGATGGCGACATAAGGGCATCCAGAGGGTAACTTCCCCCCACCTTCACTTCCGGCCAAAACTTTCCTGGGATACAACCGCTCTCCATTTTTTACCGCCGGTTTCCTTGCGGGAGCGCCAAGATATTAGCGGTACCGCTGACAACGTATCCAAACTTCCGTGCTTTCAAACCATGACAACGTTATTTTGCTCCCGGGGTAGAAAGCTAGAGCCAGTCGCTAAGCTAAGAACATAAGGAGAACTGACCCTGAGGCCTTCCCCTCACCAGACGTCCTGGCGCCCTGGCGTCAGAGGCACGCTAGCGTCATGACGTCATTCGACGTGCTGACGTCACCGCGCGGCGCTCCGTCTACGGACTTCCAGCGGATCCCCCGGTGGGGCGGTGCCGTTGGAGCACCTGGTCCCGCAGGTTTCTGGAAGTCTGGTTGGGTTTTGGAGAACCCCGAGCCCCTGGCCATGTTCCCATCGCGCCCCAAAACCTCCTCCTGACGACGCCGCCGCCGCCGGGGGAAGGGGATGCGGCTGCCGGCGGGTCGGGGCTGGTGGCGCGGACGCGCGCTCGCCGCGTGGGTCCCCGGGGCTGCGGGCCGGGCGCCGCCGCCGCCGCCGCCGCTGCCCGGGCCTCCGGGCGCGCGGGTCCGCGGGGCTGCTGCCGCCCGCCGGGCTCTGGACCGGCTCTACAGCTCCGCGGCGCGCCAGGTGACCGCCGGCTTCTTTCTATCTAGCGAGCGCGTTAAAAACCGGGAGGGAGCCCCTGGAGAGGTTGGAGGTGGGAAGGGCTTCCTAGGGGATGACCTGGCCCCGCGCGTGGAGATTCGGCAGCGGAGGCGGGGCTGACAGTTCTCCGTTCCCCGCCTCCCACCAGTGACCTTGGACCAGTCGCTTCTCCTGTGGCCTCCTTCGTGATGTCAGTAACTTAACTCATGGTTTATGGGAGGCAGCGAGCTTAGCGCTTTGCATCTGTTACCTGACGACTCCCTAAAATCCTACCGAGGAAGCTGCTAGAATAATCTCAGCTATTTTCTTGAAATGTATATCAGCCCCGTGACCTGGGCCAGCCACTTGACCGTTTTCTGAGGATGTTTCTTCATTGATTAGATGAGGCACTAATAACACATTGGATGCCCATTTGTGAGAGTCCCATACCTAAACTGTAAGAAGTACTAGGCACGCCTTAGCTCCTGTTGCATCGTGGTGTTTCACTTCAGCCAAAGCAAACTTGTGTCATTCTGACTCTGTTCTGGCGGTGGGAGAAGGCAGGAGGGGGTTTAGCGAGTCTGAAAAACTACACTATCTGATAACTATGAAGGGATATAGTGTAGACAGAGAAGTGATGTGACTGATTGCAAGTTGTGAGTAACTGGGCGGAGGGGTGGGGGGGAAATGAGTCTTAAAATGAACCAGTTTTCCCCATTTCTAAAATGACTGGAATTTAAAGTGAATTTGTACTGCAATTAAAGTTCTTAAATATGGTTAGGGAGGGGCATGATGGTAAATCTAAGCAGTCAAAAGGTGTTCACTGTTCAGTTTAAAAGGATTTGTTTGCATTATCAGTACAAGACTCACCAACCATGGAGACAAGATTAGTATTAAACTTACCAGCATGTCTCTTGAATGGTGGAGAAGGGATCATACAGGGCAGCCAGATCAGGTTTAGTTTTTTTGCAGAATTTCTTTCAGACATCGTTACACCGTTATTCTTTTTCTTGGAGCTTTCATAACAAGGAAACTTACAGCTCATAAGAATGTTGTATTTCATGGCCCTTTTGGGGGAGCTGATTAGAAAATATAGATTTTATTGGAAAAAATGCATCACGAAATTTTGTTAGACTCTGTGTTTTCTATGGTAGTTCATAAGTTCTGGATATCTTGCTGTTCTCCACCTATGAAAATAAATTCAGTTTCTCATTGGCCCTCTAAATGGTAGAAATACTATTAAGAACTTTTATTTACTTAGTCACCTTTGACAGCGAATGAGTCATTATAATATTCATTGATTACAATATGAGTTTAACCATATGTGAATTTGTTAAAGGAATAAAAATAGAAACAATATAGATGCAATAAATGAAAATTTTC